CACTTTAGTTGAATATTAACCCAAACAGAGTTAGTAAGTTCGTCTAAAAATGAGTTACACACAGAAGTTGCATGGTTTTTTTTGTTGTTGTCCACATTTATGCAGCAACTGTCCCAACGGCGGGATATGCAAGTACCTCTAAAGCTCCGGAAGTTTGGTATGCAAAAATGAGTATCAGAAGTAATGTTCACTTTCCTAAGTCTCCGTGACAAGTACGATATCGCGACAAGAGAGCGTAGACGGCGTTGAGAGACCGAGCATCTAAGAGTAGTAATCTAACATATACATGTTGTGTCGGTAGATTTACTAACTGTATATGGTTGGATAAAGGGCCCCATCCGAATTTGCGTGAGCACAGCCGAAATGCATGTTGATGGCTTCAGGAATGTTTGAGCCAAGTTGATGACCTATTGGAGGTGTTGCAGGTCCTGATGGTTCATAGGGGTTGGCGGCGGTGTGGTTGACGATAAACCCGAAAAAGGAGCTTGGTGCGAATGGGGGTCAAAGGTTTCAACGTCATTTGGGACACTATTCGCAGTCTTCGTTCCCAGGCTTGTGATGAGTGGAATTGTAGCAAACATAATGGGCTTGCTTGTGGAGCTAGAAGTGAATGGGCATCCAAATGTTAGATCCTTATACGATGTCAGTCGACGGAGTCGAAGGTATTAGGCTAAACAGGGAATTCACGGCCTACGGATTAGAAAGAAAAAGCTTTACAGGGCAAGAATAATCGGTTCGTCTTTGTGTTAGCCCGATGGCAACGTTATAGGTGTGATCGGAGGTTCCAACGTCCTTAAACTGGCTGAATTAGTCGGGGTGGCTTTGTTAAGGTTGGAAAAACTGTAGCGGGTGTTAATGGAGGTACGAATTTTCTCGCTACTCATTAATCTCAGGTTGAAGTTTGTGTGGCACTAATGCTGATCATGTTGTCTAGGCCAGTGCTATTTGTGGCGACGATAGGCTGAGGACTTGAGTGGAATGCACGTAGATCTGTGGATATTATCGGTTAGCACTAATTTGTTGGGGTAGTACTATTTGTGATAGTACTACACCTGTTGTCAGTTCACTGAATCCATGGCAATTTCAAATTCCTCCTTAAGGAAATCGTGCGTCTCCAAGATGGTCCTTAACTTTTGCATATTGCGTCTAACGGTCACAAATGCTCCTAAAAAAGGCATACTGCTCGTTGAATGACCAATCTTAAGTAGGCAGATAGTCTAACAGATGAGTAACAGAGTGGGATGCTATTGACTGATCTGGGACTGGTCACACTATTAGCCGTAAAACTTAACGGCGTTCGCGCCAGTTGGATGCAATTTGAAGGTGCTAAGAACTAACTTAACTAACTAACTTAATTTAAAAGATTTGTAGAGGAACATGACTTCATTGTGTTTGAAAGCATTATGGACGCAAAGAAGGTAAAGATGTCTGGGTAGGGATAACATTGCTACTGAAGAGTAGTTGTGTTAGTAGCTAGTCAGCGGTAGCCGCGGAGTCATCTATAATATTTCGAGACTGATTTCAACCTTATCGCAATCTGTTTAATCTTTTACTCATCAGCATTTCTCCGCAATACAGAAAATTTAGTCAAATACCATCTAAATTTATTCCAGATCGCTATGAGGAGTTAGCCGTGGACCTCGCATGAGAGACCTTACGTACGTGTGGAATGCGTGAGTGATGTAAAAATTTCGGGGTCATTACGCCAAATGGCCTGAGCGGGACAACGTGATGGCCAAACGGCGGACATCACACGCGCTTGGCATACAGGGGCATAAGTTGAGTTCCGAAACGTCAAGGTGATTTCACGCGTCTGACTTATAAGTGGAAACTTCCATACGGTTCCGATAGTCCGTCTCGGGTCAGCGGAGTTGTCACTGCTTTTCCCCAGTTTGGATGCACGGGAACCGCACGCAGCGGTCAAGGTGAAAAGAAACTTCCTCGTAGTTCACCTACCAAGTTTGTCTTTAAGTTAATTTATATGGCTTTTTAACCTTCAGACCACATTACGCGAGATGGAAGTAAGCAGAAAGTACGACCGTTATCACTTATCATGAAGACATGAAGTGATCAACGACTGGAAGGGCATTGCATCTCTGCTACAGGTAAATGTGAAGACAAGTAGAAGCTGGATTAAAAAATTAGAATTAAATGAGCCGACAAGAGATGGTAGCGTGTCAAGTCGAAAGTGTCTCTCAGATAGTTACGTGGATTGCTTGGTGGAATGGGTGAAACTTGACTCAACGGTTACCTTGGTAACGCTTTGGTTGCGAAAGAATGGGGGAGTTTGAGGTGGACGTGAGCGTCAGCACAATCGCCCGCTACCTAGACGGTCGCCTCATGACAGCGAAGCAACTACATGCAATACCGAAATCCATGTATACGATGGTGTTATAACGCTGTGCCCGCTCTCGCCTGGTTGATTCACGCCTGTTGCTAAATCTGCGCCCTTACGCGTGCTCTGATTGACGCCTTGGCAAACCCGACCGGAACGAAGACAGAAGAATACTCAGCAGACCAGAGTTGTATTAGGGCAGAGAACGCTCATATTTATATGTCGGTGTTACCAGGCGGATTTGGCTCTAAGCTCACGCTTCATACATACTTGTCCGCTACATCTGTCCAGTTCACCGTGTTGCTCGGGCACTCGCCTACCCGGTGCATGGCAATGCACGTGATGTCTGACGCGCGATTTCATCAGCTTTCGGCTGGGCCCTGGTAACACGCTCGTAGGGTCCTTCCCAAGCACGATTGGTGGTAAACGCGCGACCGTTGGCTCCCAGCTTTCTCGCCCAGCTGTCAGATGGATAGCAAAAGGTTAAAGAATGCGTACATTTTGAAGTTGTGAACTTGGAAGCAGAAGGGCGGTGAGCAGTATGGATAGATGAGACGAACTTTAATCTGTTCCGCGCTCGCAAAAAGAGGTTTAGCAGATGGCACCTCTGCGCACTGTACGGTGCCGAACACTCGGGGAGAAAATATGCACCTGATCAGCGCGATGGATGAGGATGGATTGTTCAGACATGCTGTCCTAAGACGCAGTTATAACAAAGAAAGATGTGCTCGGTGATTGCGGCTACTACTTGATACCAATGGCACCCAGTTCACCGAAAGCTGTCTCCTTATTTTTGATAACGCACCCTGTCACAACGATTTGGAGCGTTTCTTCCAAAATGAGCCTTACAGATCATGAAGACTTCTAGGACTGGCACCGTATTCTCCGCAACCTAATTCACTCGAAGGTATTTGGAGTGTCATTAAAACACGTTAAGCAAACCATTAGGCAGCGATATTTCGAAATGCTCCGAGGGGATCCGGATGGCGTACTGAGCCAGACTGAATGGAGGATGCAGTTTCTGGAGCAAGTTTTTGCAGAAGTACATGCCTGCGTGACGCTGCACCACTGTCAAAAAATGGTGGTATGTACGAAGTAACTATACACGTGCTTTGCACCTACTCGATATGTAACCCGTTCAACACAACTGATATATTTCTTTCTAACGTTCACTGATGTTTTTCTTTAAACGCAATGTGGGGTCACCCCGAGTGGGTGGCTTTCAGTTGGAAATGCCTCTGGTTCTGCGAAGGTTCCCTCGTGGATAGCAAGTTACTGTAAACTACGATTACAGTGGCTTCTCGCTGCAATGATAGATCACGTGTTGTTAACCGGTCTTTAGGTATTACATTAAGAACTGCCGATAGTGCGAAGACATGGCATACGTCGTTCCAACTATCTTAGGTAAACCTGTACACGTTTCTGGGCGTATATCATAAATACTGATTACCATAAGCGTCAGTGATTTGCTGTATGATCAGTGCATACGACCCAGCCGAGAGTCCCTCCATCAAAGTGGGCTACGGTCAAGGTTCATCTGATGCTGGCTGGCACTGCGCCTAGAGGGATATGGCCACCAGCCTCACCAACACAGGAAGAGACTACCGACAAACTCGGTCTGTTTACATAAACTGGGTTATAGCCGCCTAATTGCCGAGGCCTCAGTGAACTGAAGCAGGTGGGAGACGCTCCGTTGGTGGATGATGCTAAGTGATTCACGAGGGCTTTCACACATGGAGGAGTAAAGAATATGTCGAAAGATCGAACTGGCAGGTAGCGTTCGATCATTCACGACCAGGTTTCGAAGAATATGCTCTGAAAGCCTCGGGGGCAGTGTTCGTTCAGTTCGGCCAACGTACTCTCTACCACAAGTACAATGAAACATGTAAATGATTCAGGCAATAACTCGAGAGTCTGACCTGTCCAGGTTGGGTTTAAAAAGCAACTTGTTACCCTGTTGCAAATGTACAAATTCAGCGACGTAATAACACCTTTTTATAGAATGACGGCAACGGCATCGGAATCTCTTGTCATTTTGGTTGCCTTTGAATGGTAGCGTTATGAACACTTTTTTCTTAGGGACTTCGGGCACCCTTCGTAATGGAGTGCAGTGTTTTCAGACAGGCAACACCTTATTTCCATACACTTCAGCTATGGTCCTAGTGATCGAATTGGCCAATGTTCGCGCTTATGCGAATCAGTTCACATTGAGATTGCGCGTCCAAATGCAATCACAACGAGTACCTCAAATGACATGCTAACTTGTAAGATACGTCGAGAAAGATGGTCAACGGGCGTAGGGAGACTCGTCGTGACTGACCGATGACGCTGTGAAAAGGTATCTTCCTAGAGGCAACACGAGAAACTAGTCATCCTAGTTATTACGTACCTCACTTGGTATGGCTCAAATGCCGTGGTTCTAAGTCTCTTACAGTTTCTAACTCCTATCAGACGCCTTTAGCTCTTAGCCTGACCCTTTATTTGTTGTCTTCTTGTTTGTAAGACTGACTGCGTTTCTGTTAGCACGGTTTTCTGATATATATTATTTTAATCAGTATGGCAGCGGGAGTATTGGCAAATGTGTCTACCAGATCTCGATGCCCGGAGCACAGATGCTTAAATAGAGAAAAGGGGTTTTGGTCGATTATAATGAAGAACCCTTGGATCGAACACTCTAGGGACTATATTCGACAAAGCACATTCAACGAAGGAACAGATTGCCAAGGTATGAAAGATGTATAGTATGTCAACGTGTTCAGATGTAGACGAAATATTATTTCGCAATGCGTCTGATAAAAGCCAAGTGTACATCAGTGGGACTGCTCGCACTAAAGAGTCGGATGAGGCGTTTACAACGATCACACGGCACACAAGCAATAGCTGTTTCAAATGAACGTGACACCTTCGATTCTTGGGAATGCATGTCCATGAGCAAAACAAAAGGAAACGTCAGGAAATCCCACTCACATGGAAGAAGCGCAAGAGATGGTGCCTCAGTGGACAAAACCGCCTCCGCCTTCTTCCCATATTGTCAGCCCAGAGCACGTACAAACCCGCTTCCGATTGGATCTGACAGCGGCCGATCGGGCGACGATTCCGCAAGCGACTCTACGTAGCAAAAAATACAGAAATTAGTGACGAAAAATGACACAATGCAAAAACAACCCTTACGACATGATTGCTGTACCTCCTCAATGACAAACAAGCGTTAACAGATCACAGTGAAACCCTATCGATAGCCCGCAACCAGGTAGCCTTTTGTCAAAAAGTGGGAACACGATCATTCTGGTGCTCCGCTTGTGATTTAGATTCGACGCTTGTGACGCCAGGTAAGTCTGACGCTCGGTCACAAGATACAAACCTGTCGATTGTGGACTAATCGAGGAAAATATTCCAGATAGGAGTTATAGCACTAGCATATTCTGTCAAATGAGCACCAGGAAGGTAACTGAGTGGCCATTACGCCCATCCAGGATCAGCCCGTAGGGCAAATTCCGGTTTGATAAGAGGTCTGATTTGTAATGACCGTTTTTAATGTCAGAATGCTGTTTGACTCTGGGGCTATTTACATCTGAAGGGCGTGCAAGAAGAGCGCGTTTTTACCGTGCTGCGATTTCAAAAGTTGCGTGTGGGTCTACGGAAAGCCACCTCTCTGGAATAACCAAGACAAACGGTATGCCCTGACTTTGTAGAATAGCTTCTCTCTTCTTCAATGTTAAGTCAAAAACGACAAGCCTATCTGCATCCAATGAAGTGGAATCGCTAACAAATGATCAACTAATAAAAGCAGAGCATGCAAATGATGCGGTTATCTCGTGGTCAAACCATCTACACGCAATAAAACAGCGTCGCACACTTCGCGTCTGAATAGCACCTTCAAGATGCAAAGTACTGCCGCAAGGTGGGGCCGGAAAATCACTAGTACTCTATGTCATCGAAGAGGTCAACTACTAAATTTTCGAATGTAAGGATAGAGACTGGATACACAGAGGAACAGATGTCACCAAGCAGCCGGGTGTGCGCTATAAGATTGGTTGGCTAGTCAAAAGCTTCGAAATCGAGCGCAGACAAATGGTATCTGTTTGACATTTCGGCCTACGCCCCCCCACAAACGGTAGTGCTGACTCGGAGAAAGAGGAGCTTTATCACCAACTGGACGACCTCAATAGTCACAAAAGTAGTACAGAGACTGTGGTGTTTGCTGGTGATCTGAACGTCCAAGTTGGGAAACTGCCCACTGATGAGCAGCATCTAGACGGTCAACACGATATGGGTTCCTGGTATGATAACGGTGAGCGGTTGCTACACATGTGTGAGGATGATCGTTTATTTCTCGCAAGCACTAACTGCCGATATAGTAACCACAGAAGGGAAATATGGTTTCCATTAGCCTCAAACCAGCTATGATTACATCATGAGCAGTTTCCGGTGGAGAGACTGTGTTCAAAATTGCCGCTGGAGTTGGAGCTCGAGCGTGGAATTCGACTACATACATGTTTGTGCCAGAGTCCGAGTTTGCTTCAATGGACGCCCGCGACAATGCCAGACAATTGACAAACCCAGGTGTACTGAATGCACATCAAACTGCGCCGGCATGCGGGTTTATAAAGTACTCACTGAACATGGTTGAAAATCACTGGTCGCATATCCACCAGGCGTTATTAGTAGCAGGCATGTCTTAATATTGAAAATCAAAATTCAGCTTAGATGTAGGGTCTCGACGCTGCCTTTGAAACTCCCAGATGCTCGCCGACACGCTTCGGATGGGAAGAAACACGAGACTCGCAAAGAACCCAAGACAAAACTGTGTGCCAGCCTTAAGAGACCGCAAAGCCTGGTCGCTCAACGTGCAGCGAAATCGCCTGTCCTTATGATACGTATATCTTTTGTCTGTGCGAGAGGCTGTCCTTGTCATGGGGACAGTTTATTAGTGCAGTTAGGATTTTATATATATATATATATATATATATATATATATATATATATATATATATATATATATATATATATATATATATATATATATATATATAACGTGTAAGTCAGTGAATAGTGAGCGGCGTTATATCACATCTAGTAACTAATTCACGATGGTCGTTGCTGTCCGCCGCAGCTCAGTGGCCTCAACCACGGACTGGCAACAGTCGAGTTGCGGGCTTGAGCCCTCATCATCATTATACACGTTAGATGGAGGTGGGAAACACCACAGCTACTGTGCCGCAATAAAGAAAACAAAAGGAAAATAAATACAACAGTTACATGTCACCTGAGCTACCAGAAACGGATGGATATCGTTCCGGAAAGCTACCAACCAGCTACTAGGCAACAAGAAAAATTAGTATGTAAAATTATATCATGAGACCGTGGTTGGAGGGGGAGGCCAAAAGGGATGGGGTGGGAAAAGAAACTCACAGCACGAACGCCACTGAGGTCGGCTCCTAGCCATATCAGCAAGTGTGTCCAGTCAAACGTGTTCATCGTCTTTCGGACCCCAACCAAGGAGCCGTGAAGCTCCAAAGTGAGGGCCTTTATTCCTCTCGACCAGGTCATCACTTGGCCACTCCTCCTCTTCTTCCATCCACACCTCCGGTGAGCAAACAACGCACGTGGCGAAAGTCGGTGGGCTGGCATACGTAACACATAGCCGAGCCATCGGAGCCTGGTGCGTGAAATAACGGTGTTGAGCGGCTCATTTCCTTTTCCTGGGCCGTAAACAAGGCGTCGAACACGCTCGTTGCTCACGCGGTGTTCCCACCAAATGTGAGCTAAACTGCGAAGACCCCGATGGTCCAACCTAACTAGTCCGCTGATCTAATGCGCCAGATTTCGCAACCGTACAGTAAGGTCGAACGTACCCCTGCATTGCATACTCTACGCTTCAGCGCAGGAGCGATGACACGCCCGCGCCATAGGTGGCGAAGACTAGCAAAAGCACTTCGCGCTTTCTTTATACAATTCGTGATCTCGTTTTCAATCCCACGGGCACTGATACAAACTTCCCAGGTATTCGAATTTCTGAACGACTTCTAGCTGATCCCCAACAAGGGTCAGTACAGAATGCGACCAATGCCAATATTAGAGGAAAGCCTTGTAAAGCAAAGGCGGAAGCGGCTGACAGTCAGTGCTAATCTGTCCAGTGCAGCTTAACACGTCTGGAAGCTGTCACAGATGAGGGCAATGTCGTCTGGATACTCCAAGTCAAGAAGTCGTTCTCATGGTTCGAGCCTTACCAGGGTCCGATGGAATGTGTACTGCTGACAATTTTCGAAAGGATGAAACGCGCGTACAGTGACTTTCCCGTCATGTGTCGGCTGTCTGATTGAGTTCAGATGTGACGAACTTCCATCTACAGTTTGGTCCGCACCAATTTGTGAGCAGTGTCACACTCAGCTCCACGCAGTACACGTGTCATGCGCACTTCACGCATATCACGCTGATGTACGATGACATAGTCGAGTAGGTGGGCGTGAGCACTCCGCGTCCAAGTTGCTGTATCACTTGCACTGAGTGCAAACCGAGTGGTTGTGATCGTCAGGCCGTGAGTGGCACACAGTGAGAGCAGTCTGTCACCGTTCGCATTCGCTGAACCAATGCCATGCGAAACGATAACATCTGTCCACACCGATGGATCATGCCCAACGCGCGCATTGAAACCACCCAGCAAAAATAGTCGGTCGCTCCTCGGCAAAGACCGTATCACAAGATAGCTGATTGTAGAACTGATCACGTGTGTCATCAGAATAACACATGGTCGGACCATAGGTGTTTATAAAAGTGGCAAACTTACCTCTCCCGAGTCGTAGGCGAACAGTCATCAGTTGCGCGCTGATGCCTGTTGGTTCGACAGCGAGCTGGTCATGAAGGCGATCGGATATTGCAAATCTGACTCCATGATCACGTGGTGCTGAGGCGGCGTTGCCCACCCAGTAGTATGTGTAGCCAGCACCTGCTTCATGCAAATTACCTTGCTCAGCGAGCGGGGTTTCACTGTGCGCCGCAATATGGATGTGATAGCGCGCCAGTTCCATCGCGACCAGTGCAGTGCGTCGCTCCGGGCGCTCGCTGGAGTTCCGGTCCAGTAGCGTGCGCACGTTCCAGCACCCGATGCTGAGTGCTTTGCGCGAAAGCATACGGTTGCATTGGTGGACAATAGCAAGCGAGGTGGTAGATGTGTTTCGGAGGTTTGCTTGAGGGACTCCGCCCGGAGCTTTGGGTTCCATAGCCTTACCCACATTTGTTAACAGTGAAGAGAGAAGCAAAAATGTACAGGAATAATGTCTTGCCATATGTTCGTCATTGTGCACGGCTTCTTGCCAAATCCGGGAGAGTTGCCGGCGATGTGTGCTAGTGATATTTGCGTCCCCAACCAGCTAGCCGAGAGCGCTAATTTGAGGTCAATACCTTTATAGTTCTGACCCAAGTCATCCGTTGGCCACCTTGTTTTCGCTTCCACCCGATTTCTGCACGGGCGAAGAGTGCACCGCGAAGTAAACGCTTGATCCGGAAATGCTTCTAAGAACATTCTCACTGCAAGTGTAATGTCGCCATCGTACACCAGCAATGCTCCGAATGTAGTGCTGATCAAAACAGTCTCTGAATGTCCTTTGCACGTACAGGCCAAGTGTTGCATCCGTAGAGCAGGACCGCTTTCACTGCGGCATTTCAGACTCGGCACTTCCGAGAAAAACAGGTCGCGTCGAAGTCACAGACGACGGAGTTTAGCAAAAGTAACCCGGGTCTTAGATACACGCAAAGAGACCTCATCCGTCAAACCGTTAGCGCTAAAGCAGCTTCCGAGGTAAATAAACGCTACAACTTCCAGTGTATAAGCTTAAAGAACAAGAACAGGAGCGGCTCCTAACCAGCTTGGTAGAAAGACTTTACACTTCGATGAGGTGAAGGTCATTCCAAACTGTGAGACGGACATTTCCAACCTACACCGTACATTTTGCGTGATCTGTGAGGACTCTCAAATCACGGCTCCGCATCCGGCAGGCTGTCTGATCTGAAAATACCTCTACCCAGCAGTTATGATCATGCTCATACACGAGTGAGATGAGTGTTCAGCAGTGTTCGTATTAGTAAGGCATTCCGAAATACGCGGTTTTGGTTAATGTTGAAATTTGTGCATCATTCTTTCCTACTGGCTACATTTTCCTCGGTCAATCTTGGAAGAAATCGTCTGATGATTTTCCGGACCAAAACATTGTCATAAACAATTTTTAGAGTAGGAAATTTCCAAGTTTAATGCGGAATGCTCTTGCATTTGTACAGAACCTGATAGTGGCCGGTAGGCACTTCCATACGACAGCTTAGCTAAGGAGGAAGAAGTTGGATCGCATAGCTGTCCTGGTTTTTGCCATAGTTAGTTTACAAATTATGTCTCGAACTCTCCAGATGAAGTGTTGCAATTCTAATGTAGAAACAAGGATTATGTCTTTTGGTTTATATCATTGTGCATGAGCAGCAGGTTATGTTTCAGTCGTCGTAACCAAAGAGACTCGAGATGAAGCTGTTGGAAACGCATCTGATAGCTCAAGCGCACGATTTGGCAGCAGCTGAGGTTGAGGCAGTTTCGGCCACTTTGCAGGAGTAGCCAAATTTTTAAAAGTCCAACAAACCCGCTCCAACCTCTTGCCAAAATGCACCCTACCCTGTTACCATTAAATAGTAAATAACAAGCAGCACGACGGACCCCGATTTAAGGCGACCTCTCATTTAACACAAACGCTCATCACTTCTTACTCGGTACCATTTCGACCGACGAACTTCCATTCATCCATCATTGTTGACATCGAAAGCTTTTCTTGTTCAGCCTTCTTGGGGGAAGCTGTGTAGTGCCCCAAAAGATAAATACTATTTTTTCTGCACAAGTTTCTTGCTGACCAATTGTACATTGTTTTATCCTCCCTTACCTTACAGCCATATTAGCCTACATCCGGCTCAACACTCGTCTGCCCTGTAAATGATCGCACCAACGTACGCTCCCCTGCCGACAAGACAGTCCGCTGATAGTTCCCCATAGTCCGCCGAGAGGCTGCTGATAGTTTCCCATATTCCGCCGACAGTCCGTTGAGTGTCCGTAATAAGTCCCAATTGAAGATGTTTTGGACGGGCAAAGGACTGTAGAAAAAATATTTGCCGTGCCTCCCACATGCCTCTCCAAGTGGAGCTAGGACAATAGGACGCATAAGGTAAGGCGCACTCCCTATATTTCCTACAGTCTAGCCCCGCCTGCTGCCTTAGTTGTAGCACATGAAAGAAACTAACGCGCGCAAGTTCGTCGAACCACAGAAATGGTTTCTTTATATGAAAAGTTACGAATTCCTCTCAGAAACGAGTATCACCGGAAGTAGGTTCTCATTAGCACATTCAGCTCCAAGTCTAATCCGATGTTGGACATCACAATAAACCAGCCACATATTCTCGACAGTACGCTGACAGTTCTACTCGGACTATGTGCAATTGATAATTCATCTTATCTCCTGGACAAACTTTGCAATTCCCGTCTAGTTTGTCCTTCGGCCACTGTGTAATACGAAATCTGACCACTTATTGTAAGGCAGGATTCCGCATTAATGATTCCCGTACCCACCAGAAAGTTAACGGAAGCACTATGAGCATTTCCAACAATACCTGATTCGCATCCGACTCCAAAGAATTTGCTGCGATGATGGACTTTTCGTGCTAGTGCTGCTGCTTTTCTAGTAGCCGAGAAAGTGCATCAGCTTGGTTAGTGTTCTTTGTGGAATAGCACTTCACCGTACTCGTAGCCGAATAAGGTAGTAGCCCACTGCTGCAGCCTGTTTGCCGTAGAGACGGGATGCCCGAGTCTGCGCCGATAATTGCCAACAGCTGCTTATGGTTAGTCAGTAAGAAGTATAAACTTCCTTCCATATAGCATCCTATGAAATTCTTTTACAGAAAAGACTATCGCTAAGACTACGTGGCCATAAGTTCGCTATGCGGGGGACAGCGATCTGGCTTCATATGCAATTGCCTTTTGTGAACTATATACGAGCTTGCGGGCTATGACTGCACCAATGCCATAGTTCGAAGCGTCTGCGGCCACCCACTCTACAAAGTAGGATCGTTATGTGTCAGCAGAAGGTCGGAAGATAGTAGCCTTTTTACCTCGTCAAATGAGCTCTAACATCTTCGGACCAGTTACAGTGTTTATCCTTGGTCAGCGGGTCATTGAGTGGACCACGCAAACAATGTGTGTGCGGTAGGAACGGGCTGTAATGGCTTATGAAGTCTAGGAAGGACCTTAGCGTTGCAACATCTTTGGGCAGCGGCATCTTCTTGATTGCCTCGATGTTCGCTGGGTCTGGACGCCTGTCGTTCCTGTCGAGTATAAAGCCGAGAAAGGTAATCGAATTCATGAAGAAGGTACGCTTCTCAGGTCGGATTCTGATCCATATTCCTCACCACGGCCAAGAACTCGATCCAACTTTTCGAATAGGTCATCAGCACTGCCTCCGACAATAATGATGTCGTCCAGGTATGCGGCTGCTCCATCGACATCTGTCAACATTGTGTCCATGATCTGCTGGAATATGGCTGATGCATACTTGACTCCAAACTGGAGATGGTGATACTGGTGCAAGCCCCGATGCGTATTGGTGGTACCTCTCGAGAAGCTGCATGTACTTCGATCTGTAGGTATACATCAGAGAGATCCAGCTTTGCGAAACATTTACCACCATACAATTTTGCGAACAAATCATCTGGGAGCGGTAAAGGGTACTGATGGGTGTTCAATGCAGCATTTAGACCCGTCGAGAAACCGGCGCATATTCGAATCTCGCCGTTTGGCCTTTTGACCACCACAAGAGGTGCCGCCCAAGACGAGTAGTCCACCGAATGGATAACCCCTGCTCTCTCTAAACGATCCAGCTCCTGGTCAATCACTGATGTTGCTGTGTAAGGTACAAGGTGTCTCGTACGGAACACTGGAACAGCATCGGGCTTAAGGGATAGTGAAGCTTGTACTTTATTGCACTTACCGAGGCCTTCCCGAAAACTGCTGCATATTTTTCACGTAGGCGCTCGATAGCTACAGTTTTAGTAGCTGTTGTCTAATGTATCTGGGCACTTGTACAAATCTGGTTGATCGGAAGATCAAGTAGGTTGAAAAGCTCGATCCAGTCCAGACCCAGAAGATTCAAATTCTGGTGGCTCAAGACGAAAATCGTCCCCATGCGGTAACATCGGCATAACGACACTCACAATCGACTTGACCAATCAACTGCAACTCGGCACCTGATGCACTTTTCGCCTGCTGACAGTTCTCCACAGCCTTTCTGATATGATCGTAATGTCTGAGGCCGTATCGATCTGCAAATGCACTCGTCTTCCATTGATGGTGATGTTAATGTACTTTCTACGATCTCTGATATCGTCAGTAAAATTTGTATTCACTCTCCTCGCGAAACCACCGTAGGTTTTCTTTCGTGCATCAGCAACCGGTCTGAAAAATGGCTGAGATCCGCAATGAGTCTCTGTGCCCACGTCTACGACATTTCTGGCAGATATGCTTGTTGAATGGACACCAGCTAACAAAATGCCAGTCGCTGCATCGCCAACATGCTGATAGTGGCTTACCTTGAGTGGTTTCCTTGTGCTCAATGGCCGGAAACTTGTTCCTTGAAATCTGCTGAACTGCGAAATCACTGGAATGCGCCTTCGTATCCTCGAGCACAGCTGCATCGTGTTGTAAATTGATGGTTCTCTGGGCCTCTGCAATGACAGCTTGCAGTGTGACGTTCGGGTCTCGCTCCAACAACCAAGTATTCTGGTTCGGATCTCGGTATGCTTGGGAGATTGGAAGCGGCATACCAGTATCAGACACTCAAGTTTGTCTTCAGTAAGCGATTTCAGCTTGAATTCCCGGCACCCTTGCTTCACTGTTGCTGCATGGGCAATGAGACTGTCGCTGTCCCTACTGCACAGCTTCAGGTAATTGTACCGATTATTGAAAAGCGATGCCTGATCGCCGAACATCTCGGTAAGTCGGGATATCACTTCTCCCGGGCCGATCGCCACGAAGCGAGGTGAGGTAGTGGTGTTACACTCTATTGGAGGGCGGACCTCAAGACACATTTATTTGATGTTACTTGTGATATAGATGGTGGATTCGAAATGCTATGGTGTCGTATTCATGACAGGTACATTTCTCTCCTGGTATGTGTCGCCTATAGATCTCCCTTGGGTTCAGGAGCTCTTTTGTTGGATTCATTAAAATCGCAAGCCAAAGGTAAGGACTGCTTGATTGTTGGAGACTTCAATGCATCTGGCATTGAGTGGGGCCTGCCTTATTGTGGTTTTCCTTCTGACTCTTTGGATGCTCATCTTTATCAGACCGTTCTCAATTGCAACTTGTTTCAGCATGTATTTTCACCCACTCGATTGTTCTCAGGCCACAAGCCGCACGTCCTTGATCTAGTACTACCCCCGATGCCTTCAGATGTCATCGACTTGATTGTTATGCAACCTATTGGTAAGATTGATCAATGTGCTGATTGCTTCCAATGGGGACACCGATTTTCCATTCATGACCAAGGTGATTTCCTGCGTAATTTCAGGCGAGCCGATCCGCTTCTAACATGAACTGGAACATTCTTCATTTTTTTGAGTATTGACGATGCTTGGACTCACTTTCACGCCAAAATGATGTCGCTACTCAACCAGGTTGTTCCCATTTCTAAAAGAACAGGTCCAGCAAGAGGTCCTCCTTGGACTGACAGACAGTTGAGATCTCTGATGAACGAAAGAAGTAAATAACGGGACCGATTCAAGTGTACACAACCGACGGTCGACTACTTGGAATACAAAACGCTTAGGAACCTTTGTTTCCTGAAGAAACGGGAGAATCGCCAAAACTATGAGTTTCAATTGGCTGTGCAGTCCAGGTGCTCCACCAAAATGTTCTTCTCATATCTGAAAAGGGGCACTAAAGGTGGTAATGGCATTCCATCTCTGTATCCCAGTAAAAACGCTGCCTTACTTCATGAGGATGCTGCGAAAGCGGATCTCTTAGATCAACAGTATTTATCCGTCTTACAAATGAAACTTCGTTTGCTGACATCGTACTCTCGCGCTAATCTTTGCTGCATCATTTTGAGATCAGTACGGAAATTGTTACTCAGTTTCTTCTCCAGTTAGATCAGAACAACTCGCCTGGTCCTGATGGTTTGCACCCTCTGTTTCTCAAGACCGTGGCTAAGTATAGTGCAGCCCCAGCTTGTCATATGTTTCGTTGCTCTATTGAATCCGGGCGCCTTCCATCAACCTGGAAGCTTTGCATTGTCGAGACCATATTTTAAGGAGGGAGTCGCCAAGACCCAGAAAACTATAGTCCCGTTTGCATAACATCTGTAATGTGCAAAATTATGGAACGGATTCTCAAGAGAGCTCTCAGCCTTTACTTCGACTACCGGAGTGTGATTTCTACTGCTCAGCATGGCTTTCGGAAGTCACGCTCGTGTACCACCAATTTGTTAGTTGTCAGAGAGAAATGGGCGAACTCACTGGATGTGGGCAAACGTATGGACGTTATCTACCTTGATTTCAGCAAAGCGTTTGACCCAATTCCTCATGAGCGGCTTCTGATCAAATTTCAAGCAATTGGTGTCTCTGGGAGAGTTCTGTCGTGGATCTCTGATTTCCTTTCAGATCGAGTTATGCGAGTTAAGGTCAATGATACGTTTTCAGCCCCGTCCTTATAAGCATTGGCGTTCCTCAGGGCTCTGTCCTCGGACCAGAGTTGTTCAGATTCTTTATTAACGACCTTCCTTCAACTCTCCGGACCGAATGTTTGATCTATGCTGACGATTTGAAGTTATGGATAGAGGTATCCAGCGCTGAGGATGCTGACCGACTCCAAAATACACTGGATCGGCTGCACGATTGGTCAATTAAATGGCAGTTGCCTATAAATCGCGATAAATGTTCTGTACTCCCCATTGGTGCTACTGAACCATTCGGTATTTACCCCCTTGGTGGCTATTTGCTTAAGAATGTGAAATAGGAAAAAAACCTTGGGGTTATTGTATGCTCTGATCTAACAACCACCCAAGTTACTTTGAGGAGGGTTGCGGCGGCTAACAGACTACTGTGATCCATCCGGAGAGCCTACTCACGATTGACGCCGGAGATTTTCAGACTTGTATTTTCCTCCCATGTGCGTCCAATCCACGAATATGGATTATCCGCAGTTCATCCGCTTACAAAGTTTGAACATGGCCTTATTGAGAAAGTTCAGCGGCGCGGTTCTAAGTGCATTTTCGAGCCCCGACACCTGCCATATCACATTCCTCTCCAGCACTTGGATATGTTCTCTCTGGCATATCGGCGTCGCCGAGACGATCCGATCTACGCTCGGCGCATTCTGCGAGGTGAGATTGGAATCGAGCCCCAAGGTTTCTTCCAGATTAACACTGAGTGTTCGACTCGGGGCCACTGCTGGAAACTGTTTAAACCTAGGAGACTCAGGCTTCGTTATGATATTACCCTATCGACTCGTGTGGTGAACGACTGGAACTGCTTGCTTGATTCCGTCGTCAACACGCACACTGAGGAACGTTTTAAACGATTGTTGTATTTATACTTGTTGAATGTGCAGGGATCTTGTTGTTTCTTATGCAACTGTGACAATTTAACTTGTTGCTTGCTGTTGCGCAAACACCTGCTATGATTGGGAGGCGATGACAAAGGTCTTCCCTTCTGTTTTCTACATACCAATGATTCTAGCTTCTTTCACAAGGCTCTAATTCGACATATTGACTTTTTACATTCCAAAGATCTAAAATACTGCTTACTGGAGTCAACGCCTTTCAGCATTTGGATTATAGTCAAATAGAGGATTCGGAAGATAGGCAAAAGATACATCAGCAGTACGCCGGAATGCGATACCAAAGCTTCGCTGCCGCACAACCACCACTGGTCGCACGTGGGCTAAGGATACTGCGAGGATCGCCCTGCTCCTACGCAGGCTCGAACCCGCGCCGTCAGGTTACATAACAAGCTCTTAGCTTTAGGTTATGGGCAGCGATTCGGGAAATACCAAGGCTTCTGTGTGAATCAAACATTTTACGCAAAATCAGGCTACAAATAAGCTCTTATACGTTGTATTCGTGAGTTGCGTTTTTGTTTCTACATTGTTCCACGGATGGGTAATTTAGGGTTGGACGGTTATAATAGTGTATAACCTATCAGTGAAATATCGCGGCCAAAGAAATTGGTTAAAGCCATATTCAAACGTTTAGAAAAGTGCTGCGTTCAAACGAGGATTCATATGATCTATCGATTAAACATTTATCACAAAACAGTCTAAGTAACTAAACGGCTTACGGTGACCGTGTTCCCACATCGTGTAGCACAACTGCGCGTCCGATCAAATCCCATAACTTCAAATTGGTGTTCTCCGCGAACAACTCACCACGGCCCCCGGTGTCGCTGTTGAGTATACCCAATTCGCCAGAGGAGAGCTTGGATAGAGAGAAGCAGGCATAGGTTATGATGACACAGAGGGGAGTGAACAAAACGTTAACCGATGATAATCAAACATTTGGCTCTGCATTTCATGAGAAACCCTATAACAAAGGTTGTGACGAAAGAATAAGTGGGGAGGTTTTGAGAACATTATGTATCCACGGACTCAAACGTGCGATATCTCAGAAACAAGAACCAGATGCCCACTGGCATTCCGCTGGGAAGAATGACTCTATTGACTAACTAAAATTGGTAGGAAGAAAATAATTGACTGACCTGCTGAGTCGTTAGCAACTACATAAAGGTGCATTGCATGCATTTGTGCATAACATTTTGCCTATACAAACGCGATGTCGCAGAGCCAACCGGGTCTACTATACAACAGACGGGGCATAGGTGAAGCAGTACCAATGGTTGACTATACAAGTGAGTAAGCCAATGGGCACCCGATTAAGCAGTGGAGATAGTTACGTTTCGTCTTATAATTATCAAAATCAAGGAGGCATTTGAACTGAGAACACAGTTAACTCAAAAAAGGGGTGTACCGGGGGTTGGTCAAAAACATCCCCACATGAGTCTGCTCCTTTGGAAAGATCTCCAAAACGATGAACAGCCAGTAAAAACTTGCGCTCAGGTGGAAGGTTACTGACCGCTGCATCCACAAGCAGCTTATCATCTGTAGGTTGGAAGAGGCGACAAATGCCATACACTGTATCATTCGCGATGATATTGGCTACACCAGATCCGAAGTCGCAGTCTACAAAAATGTGGTGAGGTAAAGGAGAAAAGGTGTGTACTTTTCATGCCACTGGCACTGGAAGATGCGCCACAAAATTTTGCAGTATAGCCAGCTGATTGAATAATTTTAAGCAATTTGGTTGGCGATGCAGTTGTTTCCACCAACAGTACATCGTCTGATAGGTTGATATCAAACGAACTTATCTCTAAAACAGCCCTCAAAAAATCGTGATGTTGACTAACCGGGTAGACCATTAAGAAAACTCTTCAAGCTGTCAATGCATTCCACTTTACTGAAATCCACAGCTAGCTCCAAAAGCTAGTATTAGCCAATGTCACGTAAAACACCAAATTACCATACTGGCAATTCAGTGACGAGCTGGGGTTCGGTAGAATGTAGCAAGGTAAATCACGAGTTTCTATAATGGAAAGAAAGAGGCTCGGGAAACTGTACAGCTCCAACAAACACGAGCGAAGGGTGGGATGCGAAAATCTGCAGTACACTGAATCACAGTAGGATGACAGAAGATAGTACGACCAGTACATAAAAACACATCAACAGTGCGGGGAAGATATGTAGGTCTACAGAGAGTAAATCTCCAATAGCATGATTGAGGAGATAAGACAGATGGAATGGGGGAATAACAAGAACGTGAAAAGACATTTGAAACAGTTTGATTCAGTTGGTGAACTATGACCCGAACATCGATGAGTGCTGGATCCAGTTAGCATGATCCAAACCACTTAGAAAACAGCGGTAGAAAAATCAGAAAGATGTGACAGACGGAAAGAGGTCATAAGACAAAAGATATACTTGACGGAGAAACGCAACAGAAACGAGACTGAGTGAAACAGCAAAAGGGACACCTGTTGCAGACCAAAACATTTTGAAACTGCTAAAAAGAGGAAGACCTTTTGAATACCCAAAAACAGCTTTGCACATTTTTTGTTTTGTACTCTTTTGTGTGTTGCTATGCACTCACGCTGTTCATTTTCTTTCTGCTTTTCATATATACACCCGCTCGGTTGGTTGACTCTTGATTTCATGCTTTGTTGGATCCCCGCACCACATATGAAAGCACCGCGGACTTCCTGCTCAACCAGTACGTGAACTTGATTAACTATCCCCCATAAAGATTGTTTACCGTTTCGATACCGTACGGAAAACATGGGTAAGAGCCCGCTAGGGTCCGATTACATGGTTCTCCCCCAACAGCTGCATCAGGTTTCACAACCTGGTCTCGCAGAAAGCTGGCTCGTGACGGACAGTCCTCACGTAGATCGAAGGATTGCTTACACAGTCCATTCTGGAGGAAAGCTATGTAGCAGTCTGGAGATTTCCCGGTTTGCCAGTGTAAAATTCTAACTAAGATTATTTCATCGTACACCTAAGCGACCACTGCGGAATGTTTGGCTGGTTGCTGAGTTCGTTTGTTTGAGTTGAGCATCACCATTTTTGTTTGGCGCTCGTTTCGGTTGCAAAGCGCCACTGCCTTGTGTGCTGTGTTTTCTGTGTCCCCCTAGCTAGAGCATCAACGGTGTCGTTCTTTTATAGCTAGGCAACAGGGTTCCTTCTGGTGTACGAATCAAAATTTTCCTGCAACCCGAGCTGTCTTTTGGAATCGCTCTCCGGGCTCCCGCTAAAGGCTACTCGCTAAACGTGTGAACTGAGGATACTGCGAGGTAGCTTGTAGCTACGCGGATTAGAACCGGCGACCTGTGAAGTACAAGGAAGATGCTATATGTATTCAGCCACTGATCTTGTGGATGCATGCGTAAATAGGTCTCGATTACCCCAACGGCGGGCTAAATATACAACCATGGATAACCAGAAGCAGCCTCTTCTAGTTTCAAATGCCAAAGACATAGCGTCTAGCGAGAGGACGTCATCACCTTGCAAGCTAGCCACTGTCAGTGAAAGACAGGTAGTGCTATATCCCAGTTAGCTTGCGAATTATGTAGCTAAGCCAACGTACCCCATGGCTCAGTGGTTTAAGCTGCTGGCTAATTGGCATCTGTCTCTAGTGGTCATGGGTTCGATCCCCAGTAGGGGACCGAGGGAATGCGCACCACTGACGAGCCCCAATAGGGCGGAACGCATGTGGTGCTTTTTCAGACTAGGCTGTGCTATGTAACCCGTGAACTACTGGGAGGAATACCTTAAAATTACTGAGCTAATCGTCTGATTTTCCAGTAAGTATAACAGGTATTAATAGGGCGCTACGTCGACTAGAACGTCACACACCACATTGTCACCAACAACTCACAATCGAAATAAGAGTTGCCTTATCACCGGTATCAATAGACGCTAGCTGAGGAGGAAAGAGACACATACAGGTAATGTGCCGCCATACGAAAAAGATAAGATATTAGACGTTATGCACTAAAAATACCAAAAAATACTTTGCACTGAGTATGAGATCGACGTGGGAGAGGAGGCTAAAGGGATGGGGAAGGACAAAGAAACTCAACACGAACTGTATGCCAAATAGTGTATCTAACCAAAGGTGTTCACGTCCTTCGGACTCCAGCCTGCCAGTCGGGATACACCAACCGACGTCAACTTTGATGTGAAGGTTTACATTCCTCTATCAAATCATTGCTTGGCCTCCCTTCCAGTATAGGAGTAATAAGCGAACAGGCTTAGTAGCCGTCAACTTTTGGCTGTACTGGTAACATATGTGAATCAAGTGGATATAGACGACCCCAAGGAAGGGACAACTTAGAAGACTGAAAAAACGTGTAGTGGCCTCTGCACCGTCCCACAGAACAGTAGACGCTCTGGGCATTTCGACAGTCCTCAAAAGCACCGGCTCGTAAGCAGCCGCGACCTAGTTCAGTAGGTTCGCTGCCACAGAAACGAAGGTTTCATACCTTGAGACTCCGGACGGGTCCAATATGTCAAACGTTTTCACCAGTCCGGCTAGTAATCCGTCTCATGTAACCTATAAACAGATCCATCTATGAAGTACAGCGTTTTACCTCCAGAGTACAGGTAATCCTATGAGCAGTGGCGTAGCAACTAATTGTGCTGCCCGGGGCAGTGGCAAAATTTTCGCTCTAACTGAAGGCAGAACAGGCGTATGAAGGACACACAATTAGCTCACGGTAAAGTGAACAGTACTTTGCAATGAAATGGATGATCGTTTGGGGCAGTGAGGTAATTGTGATGAAAGCGACCGCAATGGAACAAGTAAGGGGATGTCTAGGAAGAACGTTCACACAAATATGACACCTGGCGTAAGTTTGTGTTATCGGACGTTGCCCCTCATATTTGTATCGAAAAAACGACAGTACTAAAAATGCCTCCCGGTGCGGACCGCCCCCTATGCTACGCCACTGCCTATAGGCCTAGTAAATACTAGTCCGAGACGGTGCGTAAAATCAAGCATGGATATCAGAAGGTAATTGGAGTCGGACACAACAGACTACATTCGATGGGCCACAAAACGTGAATGGACGAAGCGGGACAGGAGTACACGTTAGTGCGAACAACCGGACCGGGATTCTAACCAATCAATTAGGCCCGTAAGCTGGTGTGGGTGACATAGTATGCTAGCCAGTTAGCACGAGTGACCGAAACCCGTCCATTGGATGACCGAAAATGCGCCGCGCGGCACCATTTTCGGAAACTAATCGGTCACTCAGAAAAATTTGGCAGCATAACCCCACGCGCTCTTATGCGTTTTCCCAAATTTCCTTCTAGATTAACGCGCCATGGTCCCCTCTTCCCCTGCTAAATGCCCACACGTTAGGCGAGGTACTGTACTCATTTTTCAGTAAACTATTGGTCACTCAGAAGAATTGGCAGCATAAGCCACTTGATCTTATACGTTTTCCAAAATTTACCTTTGCGTTAACGCACCATCGTCCCTTTTTCACCTGTTAAATGCCGACACGCTTGGCGATTTACTGTATTTAGTTGCGCGGAAAATATACACTTTAAAAATAAGTATATTACACAGTTACGAATAATACAGTAGTTTATTTCTTTCGCGTACCGCCATCGCGCTTTGACTCGTCGGATCTTGCGGATCTTGGCGGACTCCTTGCACCCAGCACAAGCGTAGCGCGAAATGGAATCTGCGAGTGAAATTATTACGTATGCACACAGCTTACTGATAAGCGCGCGATAAAGGGTATAATGGGCAGCAAAATCAATTCCTCAACAAGGCTGTTGGCGAGGTCATCATGTGATGTTGAAGACATATTCTACAACATTTAAACCGCAAACTGGAGCAATGAACGCTACCCAACATATGTATTACAACAAATGATGTGCTAGCATTTTTCGCATGAAGCAGGTTTTTCACCCTTCTTGCAGAGAAGCATCATCGCCTTCTCAATCCATTTGGAACGAAAACGACCAGCTTCGCTGACTACCTGCGGCCGGCAGTATGAAGTGTGCACTGGAGTGCGTGCATTTCTAATCAGTTCCAAGCACAAGTCGAACGCTACACAGAAGTGTTGATTCGCGTCATTCGGAGGTGTGCAACATTCCATCACACATAGATGTTTCACATGTACTGTTTTCCACCGGAAACAAAGAGGAGCCTAAAAACGATAGATTTGTTGAACAGAACTGGCCAGGTTACTCACGTGGTTCAGCAGGGTTGGTAGTTGCATTGGGCACATACGGCTTCGCACATCCATCAGTAATTTGGACGGCACTGCAAGAAATGCAATTTCAGCTTGTCAATTTCAACCGGGATAGGAACAGAAAGAAAACCATTCTTATGTGTGTCGTTCGCTCAGGACAAAGCTTTTAGGGTCAATCTGAAACTGGATTCACATCACGGTCAATCAATCAATGCCCGTATGACATGTGCTAGTAGCCTGGTGACGTGAAATAAGAACAAACGCAAGAGAGGGAAAAACAGAAAGACGAACGGATGGACGGCTTGACGTCCCATTTGAGCATGTCCTCAAGTCACTCGCAGAGGAATAGAAGATAAAGCAAATTGCGCAACGTTTAAAAACAGCAATGAATATTAAACTGTTAGCCCTTAACAAAATCACACTATCAGTCTGCGAGAGTGACCGAGGTGCTTCAGCTGATTAACCATTTTAGTGCCCTTGGCCGACCGAGTAAGACACATGAGGGGCAAAATTGGGTCATAAGGAAAAAGTTGCAGTGTAGCATTACGATTTGGGGATCGAATTCGGATGTGTTAAGGATATTTGTTACTCGAAACATGCATTAATGATATAGGTTAGGGCAACGCCAGAAATAAACGGCCACTCAGGGTGTTCTAGCGGGCACCCCACCACCCTGTCCACCCAGATGGACGGCCAGCAAACCCATTGAGTTCACTGAGTGGTAGAGAGCAGAAGGGAGGCCCCGTGTCACCACCTTTACTTCCCGATCTTCCAAGGATTGCAAGCGTAATAGATGTGACAGATCAGAATGTAGTATCAGTCCTGCAGGATCCTAGAGTACTCAGTAGGAAGATGTCTAACAAGCGTTTGAAACTCGCTTCTGACAATCGGGTCGGGCAGTCGGTTCCAGTCATTAATTACTCGGGTAGAGAGAGCAACATCTGAGCGAACTGAACCTCCTCGGTTTAAACAGCTTCCAGCTGTGACCTCAAGTCGAACTGCCAAGTCTTGACTGAAAAACTGCCTCAGCTCGTTCCTCAATTCTCCTTGTAGAATACGCCTTGCATAGATGAGGTCTCCGCAACGTCGGCGACAGTCTAAGGGAAAAAGTTCATCCTCAGTAGTCGGGTAGGATAGGGGAATTCGCGTAGCCCAATGCTAAATTTCGAAGCTCCTCGCTGAATTTTTTCGAGCTTGTCACTTTCATGCTTTGATAATGGGGCTATGGCCGGAAGTCTGAATCCAAGGATTGGATAGATGTGGGAAGTGAAGTCTGAATATCTGGGGCGCCATTTTAGAGAATGATTTCCTTATGACGCCCCACAGCAGTCTTCTTTACTGTGTCACGGGTAGTTTTGAGATCGTAGGATACTTTTGTCCCCAGGTCTTTTTCCTGAGTGGCAAGCTTGTGTAAGTAGCCGCCAATGTGACATATACCCAGTGGTTCAGCAGCACCGATGGGAAGGACAGAGCAATTATCATTGTTGACAGGCAAACCCCACTTGATAGACCAAGAGTGTAGTAGATCAAGAGTTTCCTGTAATCGGTCGGCGTCTTCGAGGCTGGACACTTACGATCATAGATTGAGGTCGTCTGCATAGACCAGACAGTCCGTTTGTGGCATACTTGGTAGGTCATTGATATATATTAAGTGAGATTCTTCGCAGCCACTCTCCAAATCAAATAGTCGTCCACATGCCCGGAAACGCACTAGACCGCAGTTTCAGCCAGTTGGGGATCGTCAGTAGTGCGCATCCATCGAATTCACCAAGATTCGAACCCATGACCACCAGCGGTTTGAACCGCCAGTCAGCAGCTTATGCCACGGGGCCATGGGGGACAGCTTCGGACCGTCATGACTTACAAGCTAACTACGATATAGCGCGTCTTATCCTCCACTGCCATGCAAGCGGCTCAATCCGCTGGTGGTCATGGGTTCGAATCCTGATAGATCCGATGGATGCGCACTACTGACGATGCCCAACAGGCTGAAACTGCAGTTTAGTGCTTTTCCGGGTATGTGGACGACTATCTGATTTGGAAACTGGCTGCGAAAAACCTCACTCAATTACAGGGAAATCCCCTACTCATGAGTACATTGATATATATCTTAAACGATTCCGGTCAGAGGATGGAGCCTTGTGGTACACCAGTGGACAGGCACTGGAAATGAAAGGGTATCGTTTACCTTGACTTGCATGTTCCGGACCATATCTAAACGTTCTCCAGCGCCCAGTGACTTAGACCACTTCTCACTTGCGACTAGCAGGTTGGTGTTGCAGGAACGTCCCATGCAGAAGCCATGCTGAGTAGACGAAGTGATGTTAAGATCTTTGCAGTGTCGGTGGATGGCACATTTAATGAGCTTTTCCATGATCTTGCAGGCGACCGACATCAAGCAAAGTGACCGATAGTTCGCAGGGTCCTGGCGGTTTTCACCCTTGTATTGCAGCATAACTACACCTGTCTGCAAATCGACAGGTAGTGAACCAGCTTTAAGAGATAACTGAAAATTAATTAATGCAATTAATTATGCTACCACCTTGAGAAAATGGGGGTGTAGCCAGTTGGTCTGGTGAGGAACCTGAGTTCAATTCTAGTAGTAACTTTAAGGTAGCACCTGCATCCATATCGATGTCCCAGAGGTACTATATGTGCAAGTACATAGTCGTTTGCCAGTGTCTTCCTGTGTGTATACTGTGGAGAACTGTAGAGCCAAGATGTCAGCTTTGGCGCCATCATCACGGAGTATTAGACCTGACTCATTCTTAGACAATGCAGGAATTCCACATCCGGCCTTGGAAGATCTGTCAAGTTATGAGAATAGTTTCTTTGGCCTAAGAAGGGATTGGTCAGTCAAGCTATGCTCATATGGTTGCCTCTTTTCATGTTACTGCAGGGAGCAGAGGTTCTTGACGGCCTTATATTCAGAGTAGTCTGAATCTCAGAGGGAAAGTTGGAATTTGTCCCCTAGTTTTCGTTGTTGTTTCATGCTGGCTCTGAGTTCTCGGTCGGTCCAAAGGGACCCTTAGAGAGAGGCCTGTTATTGTGGAGTGGGACGACGCCCTCAATGATTAGCTGCAACTTGTAGAATAGATATTTCCAAGCAGCATCGAGTTCTAAATGGTGTGGAACATTCCAGCTCAGCGTACTTGCTGCCGCCGTTAAGTTGGATGCGTCGGTTCGCATCGGTTTCGACGGTGTGCGCTCCGGTTCCGAACAACTAGACGTTTAGTCCATAAGAAGATGGTACAATGGTCGCTTTTACCAATGGGCTGTAGAAGAGTCAATTCTGAGAAATCAGAGAGAGCTGGAGTAAGCACAAAATCAAGAATGTGCGGAGTCTGGCCGGGAAGAAGCCTATTGGGAGAGATTCATCTTGAGGATAGTTTTAAGGAGGACTCAGGTGAAAGACGGCAGTGTAGTAGGTCCTAATTGACATCTGGGGAATTGAAGTCTGCGGTTCCCATGCGATTTGACAAAGTCTAGCACAGTAACGCTATGACCATGAATTTCTCTTCAAACAGTTTCTTGATGCTTAGGCCACCGCAGAGCATAATCAACGGTGCCCTATCTGCTGCATCTATCAGGGTGGATTGGGGTCTGGATGCTACTGCTCACGCCCTCCCGTCTTACGCTTTTTCACTTTTACCGTCCCGTTCCAGCTTCACTTTTATCCCCTATGATTTCAACCCACAATTCTTGGCATTCCCCCATCTTGCTTTGTTAAGCTGTTAACTTCAAGTTTCAACTCACATGCGAACGCGGAGCGTCATTCCTCTCCTGTCGACAAGCCCATGTCCAACCAAGCGGCCAAGACCAGTTCATTGGCTTCCAGTTGGAGCCCTCCAACCTTCAGATTGACATGCCTCAATGTACGCACATTGCTACAGATCAGTCAAGAGGCAACACTTGCCCGAACACTGGAGACCCTCCCGATCGATATGTGCTGCTTATCGGAGACCCGCCTGCAAGACTCGAGCTCTGTGCTCCCTCTGCGATCCCCTTCAGGTGACACCAGCAGCACTTTCTCACCGCGCCTATACGGTGACGATGCAGCTCCGAGCACCGGCCAAGCCGGTGTTGGTATCGCCCTGAGGCCCCGGGCTGAAGCTGTTCCGATTGATTGGATCCCAGTGAGTAGCCGGATGTGTGCGGTCCGATTGGCTGGCTCGTTCAAAGCTTCGAAGTCTCGCGGAAGTAATAGGTGTCTATTCATCATCGCTGACTACGCACCCACAAAGTGTAGCGATGATTCGGTAAAGAACGACTTCTACCGCCAACTGACTCAGCTCCTTCGCCACAGAAGAAGCACGGACACTGTTGTGCTGGCGGGGGATATGAACGCACAAGTTGGAAAGTTGTCCACTGATGAAGTGCATCTGGGCGGTCAGCACGGTGTAGACTCCCGTAATGATAACGGTGAGTGATTACTTCATTTGTGTGAAGATTTTCGCTTATTTCTTGCGAGCACTAATTTCCGACACAGCACCCGCCGGAGGGTGACTTGGCGCCCACGAGCCTCAAACCAGCTATGGACGCAAATCGATCACATTGCGATAAGTTACCGATGGAGATGCTGCGTCCAGAATTGTCGCTCGATTTGGAGCACACGTGTGGACACCGACCATGTACTTGTATGTGCTGACCTGCGGATGCGTTTTGGCGGACGCCCAAGACGACGCTGTGAGCGCATTGACACCAGCCAACTGGCGAAACCAACTGCTCTGAATGCCTACCAAAGTACGGTTTCATGCGAGTTGAGTAAGCGCTCACTGGATGCAGTTGAAGCTCACTGGTCTCATATTCACCAGTCCTTACTAGCAGCAGGAAAATCCTCATGTGGTAAGTCTAATCGCCAACATGGACATTGGGTCTCTTCACGGTCTCTAGAACTTATCGATGCTCGCCGGAATATTCCGGCTGAAAGCGAACACAATGAAACTCGCAAAGAGCTCCGGGCAAAACTCCGTGCTAGCCTGAAGAGGGACCACGAATCCTGGTGGTCTCATCGTGCATCAGAGATGGAAATGGCCGCTGACCTTGGTAACCATCGTAAGTTATTCCGGCTGATACGGGAAACGGGCAGTATCACGGGTAGTATCACGCCCTCTCACAAAACCATGGACTGTACCACAACGCGCTCATCAGCTACTATTCCTGCGGCTCACTTTCACGCTACTC